ATAATAATAGCAATATATATAATAATCATTATCATTACAATGATATTAGTGTTATTATCGTTCCATTCGTTTTTTTTTTTATTAATATTAAGTAAATTAATAAACTAAAACTCTCAAGTGTGAACTCAAGTATCTGCGTTTCCTTTTTTTTTAATGCACTTTCTCTCTCGTTCTCGCGATCTTTCGCTCTCTCATCCTCGCATACTCTCTTTCTCTCCCTCTCTCTCACGCTCTATGTCAGCATTCTCTCTCGGAAAATAACGGGAATAATAAAAAGTTTCATTATCATTAACGGTAGGACGCGTGGAATCGTAATTATTGTGCTTTCTTCGTTTCTTCTTGAATCATGCTCGCTCTGTCTCTCTCTCTCTGTGAAGTTGATCGCGAAGTTTCTCGATCGGAGGACGCGCGTGTCAACATTTTCCGGGTGTCTTTCTTCGCGAGCTTGAATTTCACAAACGAACACTGACAAACCGAAGTGTGTGAAAATATTTCACACACACCTCGCCTCGATCCCCGAAACTCTATAAAATCGTACCTCGATTAAATTATAGAACCATTGCATAATTAGTAGATGCACACAGAATACCTGTCTGTGTTATAATAAAAAAAAGCTCGTCAAGTCTCGGAAAAAGCCACCCGGAAGAAAAAATTCTCGCCACGGTGGAAAAAAAAGAACTACTGCAAGAATCACACCAAAAAAAAAAAAAAGGGAACTAAACGCGTCGACGGTCCGGCAGTTTTCTGTTTTTCTTGAAACGACAAGGAGGAATAAATCACCGACACACCCTAAAATTAAGGTCGTAGTAACAGAATTGTAGCAACGATATATCGATTAACAGCGACGAACGATTTTGCAGGGTGAAAAAGGGTAATACGCGTCGCGAATTGGAAGTTCTCACGTTCCTTTCTCTCTCTCTCTCTCTCTCGTTCGCGTAAATCGAAGTTCACTGATTAGCCGGGTAATGATCATTAATAGATTAATTACAGGCACGATCGGTAGACGTCGAGTGGCTCAGCGTGAACGAGAAGAACACAGAAGAGATTTTACAACGTGTCGCTCGTTCGTGTTTCTTTTTTCTACTAACGATTGCTGCGTTCATTTATCAATGCAAGTTCACCCTGTATATCGAGGAATGCTTCAAGATTTCACGTACTCTCGATCCGTACGAATTGAATCTCTATTACATGATCTAGATCGTCTCTTCGAACGATCTTACTTTTTTGCTAAATATTTGGTGATACCGAAAAAACACGTGGCACAATATCAGAAAAGGTGATTCTTTCTTAGAAATTAAGTTACAAAATGTAGAATAAAAGTCTCGAATACGAAGATTCTCACTCTACATTTTTTAAGTAATTCTTTTTTTTTTTTTTTTTTTTACAGAATTTTCTTCAATTGCACAGCGTATTTCAAGGTATCGTATATTACCACGTATACGAATTACGATACAAATATACAAAAATTCGCTATATACCATTACTGCGTTCCTATACTTTCCCATTTAGCGTTTACCTCGCATGCTAATCTAACTTTCATCTAGCTAAGCTATTATAACTTCTAGCCGTGCGTCGACTTGGGCTACGCGTGAACACGAGGCTCGATCCTGGATATGTTCCTCGAGGAGGGATCACCTGGCTGGCAGTGAGCGTCTCTTAGAAGCGTTTCAACGTTATCACCAGTAAACGAACGAGCTCGGAAGAAGGCTGAGAACGCTCGATTCTTCACGCTGAGCCACCGGGAATACATACACGGAATGTAGGCGACGAAAAGCGTCGAGCAATCCGCGACGTGGCCACACTTACGTCGAGAAAGAATTTGCACTTTCATATCGAATCGATCAAATATTCTTTTGCAAAAATAAAAGGAAAAAACATTCCATCACGAATATCACAATTCTCGACGTTGATTGTCTTTCGAAGTATGAGGAATCAGCTCGACGCTATCGACAAATGTAGATACACTTGGGAGTATCGAAGAGATCGATTAATTAGCCCGTTGATCACTTTCAATTAATTCCCAGCGATCTGAGCGTTTTAGTTAACCGCGTCGAGTCGCGATTGAGGTAGCAAAGAATTGTGTATTAGTTTATATAAATTCAATTATTATTACATTATATATTACACAAAAGGTTACATATTTCTTTCCTTGAAATTATAGCTACTGGAAATCATTGTAAGAAAATAAGTAATTGCACTTGGAAACTGAAGATTTCTCAACGTAATTCGTTTCGTTCTACGACGCGTGTGGTGGAATAACATCTGCGAATCTTAAGGTATCAGTTGAATATTTATTACGCGATCGGGTTGGACCGGATGTGAACCGCAGAGGATCGAATTCGCCCCGAGACCGCGGGACACGCGATAGCGGAACGTGTCGAAACAATACTTAACAGAGTCGATCGAAAATTCTTTCTCGACGTATACACGATTACGATCGATTGCCTCTATCTCTCTCTAACACCTAATCATCCTTGTTCACAGATGACGCTCGTCTGTATCTGTTCACCACGGTTAGTTGGTCGCAAGGAATCAAAAGTCACTCGATTCGACGAATCGACGATGCGTTCAAAATCACGTCGATCGCGTGAGAAAAAGAAAAAAGCAGCGACTGGTAGAAAACCGCGCGCAGATTTTCTCGATCGTGAAACCGGGAAAACTGCGACGAATAAGAAACGGCGGGGGGAAAAAAAAAGAAGACAAAGGGAAGTAACTTCGAATCCCTTTGACAAAAAACCGCGTATACTTTCTTTCACTTTATCCTCTCCTCTCTATCAGTTCTCGTCTCTGGTTCCTCTCTCTGTCTCGCGCGCAGAAAACACACATACACAACAGCAGCAGCAAACGGACACATGCATGAGATACAACACACACAGGCGTACGCACACACGAAAAAGAAAAGCGCAACCGGGCGGAGGGAGCGCTTGCTCGAGATGGGCATTACAATGGGAGAATGTGTGAGTCTATTCTAAAAACGAGACTGCGTGGTTTTTCTCGTGTTTTCATGTTTCTTTCTGTTTTTCTTCCTCTATTATCTCGGCCGTAAAACGTTAATGGTGTGCACCACACAGCAAAAGCGCTCGCGTTGTAATATTTCTTCTTTCTCTCTTTCATTCTCTCAACGATACTCTTTCTCCTCCATTTTTCCTTCCCTTCTTTGTTACAACCTAACCCTAACCATTTCTTCCCGTAAAAACACGTTTCTCCGTCCCTCGACCCTTTTCTCTCTTTCTCGCCGAATCTGTGTTCTATTATTTGCGTTCGTAATTGCAACTTAATTTCCTCGTTTGTTCGGTTCTTTCAAATACCCCGGAAGAAAAGAATCTAATTAGAATCTGCGTGGAATGTATTGCTGTATTATTGTTAAATTTTTTTTTCTTTTTTCTGTCTCTCTCTTTACCCCCTTTAAAAAACGTTTCTCTCTGTGTTTCATATTTCGTTCGTTCCTTCTCGCTCTCTCTCTCTCTCTCGCGCATTCTTTTTTTTCTGTCGTGTTTCTGTCCGCCACGAGACACGATCTACATGTTCTGGATGTCATGCAGGGTGGCCTCCATCTCCTCCTGGAGCAATTTGTTTTTCTCTCTCTCGGCGGCAAGGTCGTCTGGAAAGATCACTGGTTAGAGGGAGGCTGCCATACACGCCCATTTCCACGTACGCGAATTACGTTCTCTCTTTCTCTCTCTCTCGAGAGAGGTGGGTTTTTTATTTCGAAAGTCGGGTTAGAGGGGTGTACACTCTGGATTAAGATGAGCAAACGCACACGTCACACGCGACGACGAGACGGTTATGGCACCGCTTTCTTTCATTCGCCGTTGGTATTAGTGGTAAAAAGATGGCAAACTTTGGTGGTTGTTTTTTTTTTTTGGCGGACGACAGGCATGATTGTTTCTTGGGTGAGAGAAGAATCGATCGAATGAATTTAGTGTCCACACTGGATGTCTGTAGATTCTTTCTTCTCGATGAAAGCAAGAGTAAACGTGGAAGTATGTGTTTTTAACGTATCGCAGATTGAATTGTTCATCTCACTGTACTGTCCTCTTATGAGCAACGGTATTTAATTTATTTAGAAAATTTAGCCAAATTTTGAAAAAATTGTCCTTAACCTTTTAGCTACTGTACGCCATTACAGGGGCTTCCCTGAGTTATCTTTTAGAACGATACACGCCACTGTAGTGGGTTTTCTCTAAATTCAAAGTAACATTTTGCTAGGGAAAACCGCTACAGTGGCTCACTTGTTTATCTCGCGTTGAAAGCTATGCAAGTATTTTGAAACGCATATTTCTCTTTCTTCTTTTTATTTTTTGCGGTCTTAACGTCGTTCACGCACAGTCCGCGGCGGAGCTAGCTGTTCGTACAATTTTGCCGTGGCTGAAAGGTTGGAATTCTTTTTGGTACAGCGTATAAAGATTCATAAATAAATCTGTGAATTACGACATATCTCCTCGTTTAATCTTGCACTTCATAGATCCAGTACTCCGAATGTCTGTCGCCCGGCGTTTCTATTAATCAACGGATGCACTCAAAGAAAACCGGGCAGTTTTGGTGAATTTGGAAAGAAGAGATGTTACGGTCGTTAATAAATCCCTGACACAGGTTATATCAACTACAATTCATCTCGATGCAATCTTACTGTTCTTACTTTTGCTCCCTTTTCGAACACTCTTTTTTCTATTGTCTCAACTTGTGCAGTTCTCTCTCTCTTTCTTAAGTCTAACGCAAGAGTAATCTCTACAAACGCTGGACTACAAAACGGAACATCAACTGAAAGCACGAAATGAGACGAGGAAAAGGAAAAGAAAAAAAAAAGAAAAGGAATCGTAACTTCCTGAAGGAGATACTTCAAACGCCGAAAGATTGTGATCGATCAAATATGGCCGTTCGAGAAAGTAAAAGTCTCGAGAAGGAAAATTGTGTACGATGACACCGCGAAAACGTGTGTAAAACGCGTGATGAATACGCACCTTCGAGCCTGTCGACCTCCTTCTGCAACTTCTGCACGGATCTCTCCGCGAACTCGGCACGAGCTTCAGCCTGCGATAACAGGAAGAACAGGATCAGTGTCTTTCGCGACTAACGTCACTGTCGTGTGATTTGTCGTCGATTTTAAAATTTTCTCTCCGTCGAGGAGAGGAGAACTGTAGTCGTACTGGCAAGAATTTACTGAAAAAAACGCACTACGAATACGTATCTTTTGTCAACTTCCAAATCGAACGCAAAGTGATTCGTTCATTTTTCTTGAATCTACAAATTTTTGATCTAATTAAAATTGAAATTTTTTTAAAATCGACGGTAATTCTTCGCTTATTAGTGAAACCACACTCCATGCTTTTTTATCTCATGTTCAAAGAAAACAGTTCAGCGAATTATGTTAGTCAATTGCACACGTTTTGTCTCTATTGTTAAAAGATCGAACACCCAAATACTCGTACCTCGTTAAAAATTTCGCTGTTTCAACATCCATTTGTTGCTCACTCAGAACTAATTAATCGTTTTTTCTTTTGTCGTACTTATGCGTGATATGTGAAATATCGATAGGCGAGAAACCGAGCCTGCGAAGGGTGTGCGAAGTAAAAGAGAAATTTGTAAAGTACCGAAACTAAGGTGGCAACCAGAGTTGGGCGGTAATTAATTCTTTTGTAATCATTAATCGGTCGATCATCGTTGATATAAATCAGTAATCGTGATTACCTTCTGTAATCGGTAATTTTGAAATCGTTCAATGATTAATTATATTTTATACTAAAAGCAAATTACACTAAAAATAAATAAGCAACTTGTTCCAAGGATTTTCTATGTAAAAAATATATTTCTAAAAAAATGTCCACAGTGTTGTTATCACAGCGAAAGTACAGATTAAATCACGAACATTGATTACAACTTCTTCTTCATTAATCAATGATTACTGATTATTTAGTAATCAGTAGTCACGATTAATGATTGGATTACGTTTTGCCCAACTGTGGTGGCAACAACTCGAAAGAGTATGTACAATGTGAAAGAGAAACGTTTGACTAAACGCGAGTATTAAACCGAAGTATAAAAGGAAACAACATTTTTTTGAATAATCCAATTTACAAGAGAATTCGCGAATTCTAAGGTCCTCCACCAGAAGAATTCCTCTCCGATTCAACACTTACCTCTTTCAATTGACTATCCAGAATCTTCACCTGGCCCACGAATGTCTCCTCTCTTTGCGTCGCCTATTTTTAGTCAAGCGCAAAAAAAGAGAAAAAAAAAACGACCTCACGTTAGCTTTACAAAAAATCAAAGAAAGAAGAAAAGATACGAACGAAAGAAAAAAAATGGTTACAGAGGAGAAACGTAGA